GTTCTGTCCTTTAAACCAAAACATATGGTTTAACCTAAGCTTAGAAACAGAAACAAAGATAAAATCAAAAGAAAGGGACACGTTTGATTAAGTAGAATCATCAGCGGAGTGTCACATACCCACATGCCGTACAAGTGACCGTTACAGACGGTGGAAGCAGACATACTTGTACTAAAATTCACTGCTGCAGCGTGAGGAACTTGACCTTAGGCAAGTTGCTTAGCCATGTAAATCTCTTTGTCCACATGAAAAATGAGGTTACCTACCTTGGACAGTTTGAAAGTATTCATTTTGCAAGTAACGTGAATAATCAATAACACAAGGCAATATTATGGTAAGCGTACATCACAGAAATGGGAAGAGTTCAGTGTCCAGACTACTTTCCAGATTTTACCTTGACATGTTATGAATTGTGCCAAGAGTCTTCAGCTTTGATCTGCAAGTATAATTCTATGGCACCCATGTAGTCAGAGAAAAGGGATACTGTTCCAGGCTAGAGAAGTCATGATGTAGGAGTGAGAAATAAAGCAAACTGTGTTTGGATCTTGACTCTTCAGCTACTTTGCTGGTTTATTTGGTTAAGTCATTTAGCTTCCCTCAGTTTTTCTCACTGGTAAAGTCAAAATTTGGGACTTGGTAAAATTTTAAGATTCCTTCCATGTGCTAGGAATGGTGGTACATGCCTGTAATCCCAGTTACACAGGAGGGGGAGATAGGAGGATCATGGTCTATGGCAGGCCATAGGCAAAAAGCTGGAGACCCTATCTGAAAAAAATTGCGGCAGAAAGGGCTGGGGTGTGGCTCAAGTGGTAAAGCACTTGCCTGCAGTATTGCCCTCCCCAACAAAAATTCAAAATACGTAGAACAGAATAAATTGAAAGCTTTTCTGGTCTGTCTGTTCTCCAACCAGCATTTTCTGTCCTCAGAATCACCCCATTATTTAAAAGGGTCATTTACATTAGGTCACTGATAAAAGAGAGGATTTTCCAAGCTGAGGGAAAAGGCAGCTTGTATAATGGTATGGAAGAGAGAATTCATCATTTGGGAAATGATTTGATTTAGTTGGCAGGAAGCGGAATGAAGGGCTTGAAGGTCATGGTAAGTTTGGCTTTCAATAGTAAGCTTATGGTTGCTATTAAAGGTATTTCTCAGAGCTTTTATTTTCAAAGTAGCGTTTGTCCCACAGCCACATCAGAACTCCTTTCAGTGACTGTTGTGTTTGAAACTGAAATCTTGTGATGAAGTGTGTTTAGGGAGTACTGAGCCCCAGAGTCAGGATTCTCGATTCTCATTCCATGGCATTCAATAGAATGTGTGCCACGGTTGAAATTTAAGGATTCTGTTTGCCTCACTGTTACCTCCATCCATGGCAATGGAAAAGTCCCTGCTCCACCCCCCGCAGTACTGGGTTTGAACTCAAGGCTTCATGCTTGCTAGGCAGGTGCTCTACCACTTGAGCCACACTGCCAGTCCCCTCTATCAAAAGGTGATTTTTACACAGAACAATTTGGAAACTGTAACCCTGTATTAAATGGAAACCAAGCTTTACGCCAGACTCTGCACATACATAATCTCATTGATCTTCTCAATAACCTGTAAGGAAGGGATCTTTTTTGTGGAATGAGGAACGGAGCTCTCAAGTGACAGACCAAATACATCTTCAGCTCCAAAACCAGTGGTTTTTATGTTCCCAGAGCTTTGCTTTATTACTTGGTAGGTCATGATGTGGGAGGAGAGAAAAGTTACTGTAGCCACTGATGTGTTAGTATGGTAACCCTTTATCCAAAGGATACTTTAACCTTTTATAATCCTCAGATACTATTGGAGATGGCCCTTGTTGATTTGCTTTCTGTATTTCCCTGATTTCTATTTAGATTTCTGAAGTTGAGCTTTGACATGAGAGAGAGGTGTTTGCTGAGTTCGCTGCTCACATACCTTTCCATTTAAACTACCATAGCTTTTGTAGCCTAGTTTGAGGTGTAGGGCAGATGTGGTTTTTTTTCCTCTGTATTATAGTTACCCAACAAACATGATACCTTGCTAAAGCAAGTAGACATGTTACATGCTTTTTGTCACTTTGTGATATACATGTTTCATATACTTGGAAATGTACTCGACAGACTACTTAGTATATAAAGTAGGGAGGAAAGAATATATTTTATTCAGTGGTTCTGAAAAATGTCTAGGGTAGGAGAACAGCATTTTCACTTAGGTGGCTGAAGTTAATTCAGTGTAAGTACTTCATCGGTCCTTTATTTGAATGGTAGTTTATATTGACATCAAAGAAGTTTTTAGAAAACTGGTTTCAAAATTTATTTCTGGGGCACAGGAGGACTTGTGACCAAAGCTGCATACAATTTAATATTTCTAGTAAGTTTTTATATTTTGGTTGCCTCTTGATGCTTTCAGGTTTTATAGATTAACCTTGAAACGGCCCTATTAACAGAATTCTCCCCTCAGTTTTTGTGCCATTCTAAAACAGCTGCAGTCTTTGATGGTCATGCCCATTAGTATTTGCAAGTGACTTTTCCTTCCCTCCCTTGAAGTTCTTAATTAGGTAGGTTTCAGAGACTTGACTCTTTATCTGTGTGTAATAATATTTTGAGATTTATCATTGTTACTTGCTTTAAAAAAAAAATAGGACCTCAGTTTGTGGCAACATTCGAGTTGAAGTATTCTGGAAACAAAAAACTTTTGTGTCTGTGTGTGTGTCTGTGTGTGTGTGTGTGTGTGTGTGTGTGGTGATGGGTATCAAAGCCAAGGCCTCACATACGCTAGGCAAGTGCCCTAGCACTGAACTATGTCCCCAGTCCTAAATTTGTTTCTCCTAAGACTCAGTTTTTTAACCCTAGAATCTATTTAAATTTTCTGTAGTACATAACTGTGTAAGACTAAACAGAGTCATTTTACAAGTTCTTTTTACACCCTAAAGTTTACTGTATCTGCAAGTATGACCTTTTTTCACTTTACATTTGGCTTGCACGAAACATTGTACTATTACACAGAAAAAAATCCTGGAATTTCATAACTTAGGTCATGTGACTTCATTTGAAACCAATTTATTTGACAGATGAATTTGCTTCAGATTAAATATTTATATTTCCAAGTCAGGAGATCTGAACTTCTTTTTGTTCTTTTTTAAAAATGTCATCCTTGTATTTTAATTCCAGATGTAGAGAATAACTTCCAAGTTTACTCTTTGTTAGTCTGTTTACTCCCTTCCTCTTTAGGTCATTCCATTTAAACTTGAGATCTCAGGAGGCTAGTGAACTAGTTCCCATATGGTCCTGGGCAGGCCTGATTTTTAAAAAGAAAAAAAAACAAAAAAACGAGTTTTTAATTGGTTTATTTGGTTCTCATTCAATTTGGCACCCTGATTTCTCTACACGGTGACAAAAATTGCCTTACAAATGCATCTTGCAAGGATGTAAGATATTAAACAGTAGTTCAAAACCTCTTAAGCCTTGTTATTGGCAGATCTAGTCAGTGCCTTTGATTGCCTTAGGCCTGGTTAAGAGAAAAGGTTAATAAAAAAAAAAAAGTTGGGGCAGGGAAAGAATCATAATTAAGCCATCAGCTGCTGTGGTGGTTATCTGGTCTCTAGATCTGTGTGTCTATCACCTACTGGTTAAAATTAAAAATGCTTTCTTAAAATAATTGTTAAAAATCCAGTATATAACACAACTTGAGTCTTAATGGGAGTTTTGTAGTCACAGAATTCTCTTGTGTTTTATCTTATTTGATGATCACTGATGTAAACCTTGGAAGTAGTTGTCTTATTGTACTTAGAGTTCTGTAAATTTAAGGGATTTATTTGCCTGTTGTAAATGGCAATTGTTTGCAAAGTTCGTTTTGTATCTAGATCATTGGCTGTATCTCAGGAGCTTTAGATGCAGCCTCAGTATTTCAGTCCTGTCAGACTGGACAATAGAATCGTTGTTTAACATAGTGGTTTTGGAGCATAAAAATTGGGATCATCCACCAGGCAAGTCACTTCTGTCCGGTCCCGTTTTCTGATCTGTGAGATGGGAATAGGAACTTTTACCCTTGTAGGTAAGCGTTGTGGAAGTTGAGTTAATGAGGCACTTAGAATAATGTCTGGTCTGTAATAACCACTTACGTCCTTAGTGTTGCTGTCACTCTGCCATAGCATGGGTCAGTTTTCAAAGTGATGTGACAAGTGTTTGCTAGCTTCCCAAAAGTAAAGGTTGTTGAAGGAGACTTAGAACTATGCTGGAGGAGAGAGAACTGTACAGGAGCAGGTGTGTCAGAAGTTCAGGGCCTTAAGAACCTACTCCTGAGATATAGAGGTGTATCATGCATACCGGGAGCTTGCCCAGATGGGCCCCAGTTAGGATGCTGTGGTGTCAGCCCTCGGGAATGTGTCCCTAGGGTTGTAGAAAGGGACAATAATACCGTGAATAGACTTCTGCCTGTAAAGGGGGCATTGTACTAATATAAGAAATTAGAGAGCTGATGTACAGTGACAGTACCTTTTCTTTTTCTTTTTTTTTTTTTAAAAACTAATCCAGAGAGACCACACACATGTAAGTGGATTCTGAAGGTTGAAATATGTCAAGTTCATCCCAGGAAAGGACTCTTCATCATTCATTATCAACCCTTCCCACTTTTAGCAAATCATGAGAAAGGTATAGGTTAATATTTTACATGAATTCTGTGTCTGAGAATAGCTTTGTTACACTGCTAGACCAATAGATATTTATAAAGGTGTGTGATACACTATAGTGTTGATAGCTACACTCACATGTACACACATCCACAATTGGATGGTACTATTTTTAATATCTGTTAATAACTTACTGCTAGGACATTTTAAAATTTCTTTCAAAATGTTGTTTTAAGCACGTATATTAAGTTTTTTCCTTTTTATTTTAAAGCAGTCACACTGTATTAGAAATCTGAAATCTTCCATTTTTTTTAAAGTAGTGATTTTACTGCACATTCTCAATCTTATTTCCATTTGATTCTGGATCTCACAGGAATCCTTCAGCTGCTTTCTACCAAGCGTTCCATTTGAACACGTGTCAGGAATCAAAGAGCCTCTGGGATAGGTATGAAAACTTGCATATGAATGCATACATGCAGAGGTGTATGCATGGACTGCTTCGCATAAACTCTTCTGGGTTAATTTAAGGGGGTCACATGTATCTAGCATGAGACAAGCAGCAAAATAAACCAAAAGGCTAGTCTGTATTTTACATAGACTAGAAACCTACCTGTTTCTCATTGCATTTGTGCACATTGAGCGTATTTATGTTTTGAAGAATTTACGCATTCTATTGAATTTTATGATACAACAGTCCCTACATTTTAATGCAAAAAAAATTCTATAAAATAAACCACAGGTGCTTGAATTTTTGCTCTATATGATTTCTCTGTAAAAGCTGTAATAAAGGAAAGCAAACTATTACTTCAAATTTAAAGATTGGTGGAGGGACAAGACCTGGGTAGCAATAGTCATTTAATTTTTGACAAGAAGTTTTAACATGAAGTTTGTTTACTAGAATTCACTAGATCTGTGTTATGATTTGTAAGCCCCTGAAACAGCTTGCTTTCTCACAGAAATAGTGCATAGATTTATAAAGTCTTGGAGTTCATTTTTGCGAAAAGACACTTTGGTTTATCTTTCTGCTTATCACACATTTTAAGTAGCATACGCTCTGCTCAGTTACTTTGCTGAATATTAGCACTCCATCATTCTGTGTTTAATTAATTGCAGTTGAGCTCAAACAGTGTTTCTAAACAATCACACAAGGCTTGTTAGATTCTTTTAACTGCCTGGCAACGCATTGTCTTCTGATACAGTTTTGGATAACACTCAAAGTCAACTCCACCTCTTTCACTAGAAAAGAGGGATGCAAAATGCATGTACGTATCCTATTAAGACATGCTTACCTTGCCCAGAAATGGTAAAACCTCATTCTTAGGCTTGATTTGCTTGTGCGTGCTACTCTAATGATATTTTCTAAACAAAGTATCTTAAAGTATCTTTTAAATAGTGTGTCCCTTAATTAACCAAAAATGTTTTGAAACAATCACTTTTAGAACAGTAAGTTTAAAAATTTATAGTACCATGTTTATAAAATCAATTTTAAGTAGTTCTGCTGTAGCAATATACATTCATAAATAAATGTAAATTATATGAAACAAATATGAAGGTTTAGCTACTGAAATAGTTTACCAAATGTTATCAGAATCTAAGTACTTTGGGGTGTACCTTGTACTTTTCCTGAAGAAGGAGAAATGGTATTCTGTTCATAAACATGGTGAATGCAGCTCTCACCTGTGCTGTACCTCTGACTTCCCGCTCCTGAGCGTGTGCTATTCTCAGCAGAGCAGGGCAGAAGGCTTGCGCCCAGCTTTACGATCTGCATCAAGTCTTACAGGGGTCCTTTTGTTGCCATATAAAACAGCTCTAGTGGCTTTAATCATCATTTGTGATAGCTAAATACTTCTTACCCATTTTCTTTTTTAGATACCAGATTGTTTTACGGTATCAGAAATGAGGCAAGTTACTGTATCTGTAGTTTCTTAGAAGTTAAAAAAAAATTTTCTCTTCTTGGAGCTTGTTGTCCAGAGCCAAAGACATTAATGGACACTTATCCATTAGTGTGTTACTGCAGAATAATCCGAACTTAGATTCCTGATCAGCCATTCTTCACTGTAAGTCGGCCTTGTTGGTGGCAAGGTGACAAACCCAACCCAGCTGGGAGATGATCAATGACCCCCTTTTGATTTTTTTAATCTGGCTTATTAAATTTTCACTTGAGAAGACCAGTAGTGGCTAGCTTTATTCTAAATTGTACAAAAACCTATAGACTTGTTGATAGGTGTATCAACTAAGAAAGTATTGTATTAATTCATTGCATACGGGCTGAAGATTTGTGGATGTTAAGGTTTAAAAAATATTAAATAGAACTTCTGACCTTACTTGTTTTGGATTTCACCAAATTACCTTGTTCACTTTGACTGTTGTGAATTTAGATTTTTTTTTTTTAATAGTAACTTTCCAGAAAAACATCTTACAGGGGTGATTCTGTTTAGTAACTAGAACCACTCGAATTTAGGCCATATGTTCCTTATGTTAACTCCTACCCTGTTCACTTATTTTGAGGCAAAAGTTTGGCAGATCGTGTTTCAGACACTTATGAAATCTTGGGATGATCTACAGTGGGGGGCAGCTGTTAAGCCTCATGCTTCTTTTCACTAAACATTCCATAGATATCTGAAGACCCTGATTTTGCCCACTTGAAAGACCGCAATCTCCCCTCCACTTCAACTCCCCCACTCCCACCCCCGCCCCACCCCAGGATTCTTTCAGTTTAGCACAGGATCAAAATATGAGTAGCCTAGCTATACTTTTCCCACATCAACTTCAAGTTCTCTAATGGCCCTTTTGTTTCCTTCTCTGCTTAAATTAAAATTAGCAAATTGAGAGGCTTTTCAACAAGCAAATTGCCTCTGCTTATATTCAATATTCTCTCCTGGGGATAGTCAGTGCTCCTTAGTTACTGTATTAAAGTGAAACTGCTCTGAAGCCTCCCTTTCCATCTTTGTGGAGTTTCTGTCTTCCCTGTGTGTCACCTGCATGGTCCTCGGGTTAGGCAGTGAAGCCATCTTCCACCCAGTGTAAGGATCGTAAATACTGACTGATAGCTCAAAAATAATTAATTCAGCCCTTGATTAGGAAGTCCTGTTTACTCAAATGAATAATGAAGCTTACATAATTAGCTTTCTAGGAGAGTATCTTATCATGAACTAGATGTTGAGTGATAACCTAGCATGTTAGCATTTTAGAATAGTGACTTTATTTTTTGTGGAACTGGAGTTTGAACTCAGGACCTCACCCTTTCTAGGCAGGTGCTGTACCACTTGAGCCACTGTACCGCCCTTGTGTTGGATATTTTTGAGATGGGGTCTTGAGGACTATTTGCCCAGGCTGGCTTCAAACCTGGATCCTCCTGATCTCTGCCTCCTGAGTAGCTGGGATTACAGGAGTGAGCCACTGGCATCAGCTCTAATTTGAGAATTACCAAATTAAATATATTCTTAGATAACCTTGAGTATTTTGTGTTAGGAATATCATAGGTCTCGATGAGATTTCACTTTTGAGGCAAGGAGTAAACTGGATGTAAGCCTCTTCTGTCAGTATCGTGGGTGCCGTATGAGATAATGTGTTTTGCTCATCCTCTACGAATGTATGGCCCCGTCACTAACCAGGACTTGTTTCCCAAGTAGTATGCTCCACAACATGGCTAAGCAGATTTTGATAGGACTTCTCCACAATCTCTCTGATGAAATGTAGCTTGTATTGGAATTCATAGATGCATACCTCAACTGAAAACATCTATGTAACCACCCACAAGATCTAGACACAGGATATTATACACCTCCTTCATGACCTGCTCATGCCCCTCCAGTCACTTCCTGTCCCTGTCCTAACTGCTAATGCTGCAAGTAGACTCTTACACTGTGTATTTGTGTCTGGCCTCTTCCCTGTTGTTTATGTTTGAAACTCACCCTTATGTTTCTACGTAGTTGCTGCTCTTAAGGATTTATGATAGTGGGGTATTTGGCTACCGGTTAAATGTTCTCTCCTAATAATTATTACTTGTGGATAACTTCAGAGGCTAGACCCGAACCATTTTGTAGCCAACCTAAATATAGTTCCTGATAATTTGTACCTTAATTTATTATCTGATTACATTTTAGCCTATTTAAAGACACCTTGTAGAGAGTAATCCAAGAACCCAAAAATCAGAGAGCAAGATTTTTAATGACCTTTTAAAGGTGTTCCTCCTTTCCTTCTTCCCTCCCTCCTTTCTTTCCATCCTTTTTTCTCCTTCCCTCCTTTCTGTTTCCCTTCCTCGGCTAATAATTTTGAAATCATTTTAGATTTAAATTGAAGTTGTAGCCATGGTTCTAGCTTCCGTAATAAGCATTTATCTGAGGCACCAAGTCTGGTCTGTCTTGGTGTGGGGATGCCTTTCTCTACAGTTACTATGTGGGGACAGGTCAAGGTAGTAGGGATGGTTCATCAGTGGTAACTGAGGTTTTTTAAGCTATAGCCCAGATTTAGATGAAAACCTAAGGACATGCTTGTAAATGCTCATATGACTTAAAGCAAATGATAGCTATCATCAGATGAAGGATTTATAAATACAGCTGTGTGAAGCACATACAGAAGTTGAGAGATTGAAAGAACTTACTGGGAGGTTGAGCAATACCCAAATGTGTAGTCATCTACATTTTATGAAACTGATCAGGCAGTGAAGGCCTATAAAACAACAACAGCAACACAAAAACCTACAGAAAACTAATATGTTAGGCATTGTTAGTAGAATTAGACTAGTGTCACAAAATGGAGACAACTATTGTGTGTCAAGTTCTCAATTTTTTTTGGTTTGTTGATTTGTTTTGCCATACTGGGGATTGAACCCAGGGCCTTGCGCATGCAAGGTAAGCTCTCTTACCACTTGAGCTACACCCCCAGGTGTGTGTGACAGTTTTGAATAACTAGAGAACCTTCTTTTTTGTTGTTGGGACTGGGGTTTGAGCCCAGGGCTTTGCACTTGCCACATTGTCCATTTTGGCTGTGGTTGTTTTGGAGATGGGGTCTTGTGAAGTATTTGCCCAGGCTGGCCTCTGACTGCAGTCCCCTCTGTCTCAGCCTTCCACATAGCTAAGATTACAGGTGTGAACCAGTTACTTTTTAAATGTCTAACCTAGTTCTAAAGGGAAAAGAAAAGGTACTATTCTGCCCTGTTAGGAAAGCATCCCATGTCACAGGCAGGAAGCAGTGAAGTAGTGAAAAAGAAAAGGGAAGCTCCCACAGGTAACTAGGCACCAGCAGCAGCATCCTGTAAACAAGAGAGATGAAATTCTGTTTGGAGAAAAAATAACTCATGTTACAAACTGATGGACTTCAAAATCTAAGAAGTTTAATTTCACTCAAAGTCAAGGTTACAGTCATTGAGCCGTTGGAAAACAAGACTGCAACTTAAATCCATGGGCTGGAGGCAGTAGAGTGCCTGCCCAGCAAGCATGAAGC